CTGCTTCATACACCTATAAACGGACTGATAGATTTTCATCTTCACTACTCGAACAACTGTGTAGGAAAAGAGAAGGCTTATAAATATAACCAAACTACCCGTTGTTAATCTGTCTAGATAAGAAGAAGATAAGGTTAAAAGGTCTGTATACAAAAGCCGTCCTATGAAACCAAAGTTTCCGCGATCTGTGGAGGCCCTTGAAGCAACCCTCCGGCAAAAGTTCGCGTGATCCTTTCGGTAATGCGGATGCGGACATGACCAAGATAGAGTTCAACTGCTTACACATTCCTACAACTTTACTTCTCTATTACTGATCTTCTCACTTCCTTTGACCACTCTATTGTTTACAGAAACTCACAAGACTGAAGCCAAACAGGGCTAATGGTCCTGATGCATTGCAAGAAGTCGATCGGAGTTTGCGAATGCGCTAGTCACCTGTCATAGATTTTCAACCGATGCCTAACGACGGGTACCAGCCCCAAATTCTAGAAAGCAGTCAGAAAAACACCAGTACTAAAGAAGGGATCAAAAAGTACCGGTCATTCGTGTGTACCTCTGTGCTGTTGAAGGGTCCTGAGAAACTAGTAATCCATCGCATTTCCACAAGTGTTCATACAACTGATTCCAAACAGTTTGCCTACAAGACAGGATGCTCTGTACTCGATGCCGTTTCGTAACTTATCCATTTCATAGCATCTGCTCTTGTTCCTCGATTATAACAATGCCTTCGGGAACCTTGATAGATTGTCACTACTAAAGGTTTTGCTCGAAAATGGCGTTCGTCCATAAGCTTATAATGTGATGTGTGATTACAAATCGCACACAATGTAACTATGTGGTAGGTCTAACGTAACCCGGGCCAATAATATTAATTTGCAAGGAGCTATTTCACCATCCTTTTTGTTTTCCCTGTACGCTGAATGGCTGACAACACTATCCAGTTTCATCAGATGTAACTATGCCGATGAAGTCGTCAAAGAGTGCAAGAACTCCGCAATTAAAAACCTTTGAAAATGCAACGATTAGATAAACTCTTGACTTGGTGAAGCCTTCAGTTTCTTTAGCTTAAATCTGAGCCGACGTCAGTTTATATGCGCCCATCGTTGCTGATATAGCTGCCAAGATAAGTGAATTGATCAAATATCTCGAGTTCCTCGTTAGTAAGGTCAAGGGGTCATAAAGTGGCTGGGGATCCTGCAGCAACACTTAGCACCTTGAAGGTGCGAAGCGCATACTAAATAATGGGACCACTACAGAGAGAATATTCAGGGTTGATTGTCACGTGGCAACATCGTCGAAAAGCAAGATGATATCGTCCACAGAATCAAACTCAACTAATTTTTCACAAAACAGCATTTCAAAGCATACATGGTGAGATTCCGCAAAGGAACACTCCATGATAGAATCCATGACGAAATTGAACAAAAATGGGGAAAGCGGACAAACCTGACGAACATCACTTGTGGTCGGAAAGCTATCCGACAAGCCACTGTGAACCCTGACGCAGTCTGTAGTGTTTGAGTATAGAGCATGTGAGATGTTCACATATTTCGTGGGAACACCTTTCCGCGCAAGTATTTTGAACAGAAAGAATCGATTGACTGAATCGAACGCACTCTTAAAATCAAAAAACACAGCTATTTTCCGTCTGCCGCAGAATGAATATATGGGCTATATAGCCACGTCCTGGACGGAAACCCGCCTGCATGATCAGAGTCTACACAGGTATTCCAGTACGAGCGGCAATCCAAGATGGAACTACACCACCTGCAACTTATGACAATGCAACCAATTTGAGTTCATCGCTAGCCAGGTACAGGAGGACGCCAAGTGACACTTCGGTGTGCACTGTGTCTAAAAGCAGTGCTACTAAGAAACAACTGCTGCTCCACACAGTTGCAGCAGACGCTCGACGTTGTCAGTCCGTTCGGAGTTAAGCCCATAATTACCACGCAGCTGATCTTTTAAAGAGCTCAGACGCCCTAATTGTGCGCTCATATCCCCTGAAAGTACTAATTATCTGAACTAGTAGCACTGCGTAGTACCGCGTTCAGTTCGTGATAGATGTGTCCCTGACAGCATTAAAACTGCAGTCGGTTGGAGCATAAACGGAAATCATAAACAAACAGCGCTTTATAATGTTTCGTGAATCAACCTTGTTATATGTCGTCAAACGAGCTGCACACAAACCGCTGTTCAACGGAATCCAATAAACCAACGATGGTTCATCCTTGGAAATGAGAATGGCGGCTACCACAGCTTGACCCCTGAATGCTGAGTCGACGTCTTCGTATGCGTGCAGCTAATATCGAGTCCAAGCGAGCGCAGTTAATCCAACAACCCCATTTGGGTCATTGATTTTAGTTCCGGACAAGCATACGTCAATGCCCAGTGTGTCCAACGTACGTGCGAGTGCAGCCTATTGACCTATTTGTCTCAGACTGCGAGCGTTGAACGCAGCCAGGGACACGGGACAGCGTGGCCTTATAAGGGATTGTTGCTGATAGGCATCCGATAGGTGTCGCGAAGTGGTTGCAGATGATTCTACTCCAGTGGCACTTGGGTTGCTGTCAATTTAGTTGGGAATTAGAGAAGGATGGTTAGTAATGTGGGTCGGGATGGAAGAGAAACAGGTGGAAAAGAAAGGAGGCGCCAGCAATAGCATTTTTTCGCTTATCCGCCCTGCTGTATGTAACAGGTAAGGCGACTCTTGATAATCTGCGCGACGGCCGATGCAGGATAAAGTTTACGTTTGAAGAAAAATTCATGGTTGCATGTGGACTGGGATACTGCCAGGGCGCCCAGACCTAGACAAGAGGACAATTAGGGTCCTCAACCAAAGTCTGTCCACAAGGCAGCAGGGGGGTGGCAGTGATTTAGTTTTACAGAAATGGACGCCATGCCATTTCAAACCCCCAACCTGCAGGACCAGGAGACTGTTTGTCTGACATCTCACCATTGACCAACCAGGTAGGAGTAGCTCTCAAGGGGCCCGGAGGCGCCACCCAGTATAGCTCAATGGGTCAAGAAGGTAGGCAAACCGTAGCACCACGTTAAGGTCCAGTCTCCTTGCCCAAACCTTGGACCCAGAACAGAAGTGGAAAGACGTCAACAAGGAACACTCTCTTGCGAGAAGACGTGGTACCTAAGAGACGATTTCATTAGTTTATTAGGTCATCCTACACAGTGACCTTGAAAGAGTAAATGTGCAAAACTGGCAATGGTTGAAGCGAGGTCACGATGGTGAGACAAGCGAATCATCTTCCAGCCGGAATGCTGAACGTACTATCCGATCGATGTCATTAGGGGCTGCGTCCCCTAAGAAGACGCTTCTATAAATAGCACACATAAGCGGGTTGAATCCAATTGCCAAGACTCAGGTCGCCAGGTTGGTAATAAAAAAACAACAGTAAGAAAGTGAGACTGAATGCAAAATAAATGGATGGAATGTAAACCAACAGCTTGGTGCAAGTAAGCGAATGCAGGAACGTCGAACTGCGCGACGTAGAATGAAGTCCCCAGCAATTGGTGTGGGCTATCCATAGGTCACTATGCAAGGAAACGACACATACCAGCCTGACCAAGCATCAGAAAAGTTCCACAAACCTTCATGTCACGTCGACTGACCACCTCCAGCTTTCGTACAACGTGCAGTAGTCACAGTGGATAATACACGCCGACGCCGGCCAACGGAGGACATGACCTAGTCAAAGTGGTGAGGCACCAGGTTTCTTGTCAAAAACCAACTGGTGGACCTCAACATTGCTCAAGCAGTCCTCCTACGAGAAACGAAGACCGGCGATCAAACATGGCAAAGTATTTAACGTCTACACTGCGAAGTGGCCAGGTCTCTGATCCATACAGTAACGACGGCCCTACAGCAGTGCTATAGGCCCTACTTTTCACTGACAGGTTGATATCCGTTTCTATACATGCTTGAACCTATGGAAAGCCACACAGAACTTGCTGATACGCAAAGTGACCTCTACAGCGGGGTGACAAAACCACCAAGATACGTGAACCGATCCAACACTTCTAGTGATTGTTTGCTGACAGATAGAACTGGTGGCACTTCGGTCCAGTCCTGCACCGGTACTCTGCACTTTGAAAGTCCAAAGCACACGCCGAAGCGTGAAACGCTACACTTCAGCCGACCCAGCCGTTTCTGCATCTCTACCGCGTCAGACCCAAGGAGAGCTGTCGTCCACATACTCAAGGGTTGTTGGTCGGTCACCTGGCTGAACTGTCTGGAAGAACAGGGCCATTCATGATCATTTCGATCACAACATTGAAAAAAAGGAGATATAGGACAGCCCTGGCGAACCCCACTTGTCGTGGAGATCTCAAAAGACAGCTTTCCGAAGAACCTTACACGGTCGCGTGAAGCACGGTAGACTTCAGAATAGAGAGGAATTTAGCTGACACGGCGTTCATGGATAGGCAATGCCACAAGCTAGCGTCATCAATAGAGTTAAAGGCGGCCTTCAAGTCAAGGAAAACTGTCATATTAGGTCGTTTGTCTCTGCTCTAACACATGGCACTTGAAATAATGCGCCAGTTTGCCACTCCAACCAATTGACAAAATGAAGATTCAAGTGAATGATTACGGGTCAAAAGTACGGAACGAACATGCGCGGGTAACCCGATGCACGCAGCAATAAAATGGACAGTTATAATTCACCTGGACCAACAAGCCGTAACTACCGGCGTGCGTGGAAGATTCATTCAGCACGGAATGCTAAATCCGAAATTTTGTGCAAGACATATGAAACGTAGATAATATTGGAAAGAACGATTCTACGCCACCTCACTGCTTTCTTTTAGTGCTAGTACATCGGAGTGGGAACGTCTGCCTTTGACAAAAGCCTTTGAGGAGTTCTCATGAAAACCGATGGAAAGTGAAGGTATCGCAGTTCGTGCAAATAAACTACAACCAGTCACCACCGAATGGAATTCACGTCCAGTTTGATTTAATTACTGAGGAAACAAGACCCAGCAGTCGTATGCCAACACAAACACAGAAGTGTTAGTGGCGATGTTTAATTGGAGCAAATCTTGTAAAAGGCCGAGGGTGCAAAACGCCGGGTATATAAAAAGTGATCAACAAGTGAAATGAACGCGATTGGGTATTGTACAGGGAAATATAGGATCGCTTGATTTTGGCGATAAAAAATATAGAAAACAAGGCAAAATTAACACAAATCACCCGAGCAATATGGAAAAAGGAACGTTGAGCTAAATGCACGGGCTGTTCTTTTGGGGGCACTGTACAAGCGAGTGATTTGAAAACAGGGTGTTTCGCTCATACCAAGAAGCAGGAGTGAAGTGATGCAGCGGCAAACATGCAAGTGGCGTTCACGCGAACACATGTATCAAAACTAGAATGGTGAGGTTTGTTTCACTTTAGGCGATCTAGATCCACTGAGTAGTAACCCATCCGCGACGGGTGAACCCGGAAGACACATATCATTTGGTGCACAAACAACAGGATCGGAAGTCATGAGACAGTCCTGAATGGCAAGAGGTGACGACTCGTATTTCATGCTTTCGTCAGAATCAAGAGGCACTTCCACAGCTTCCTCAATAACTTGTTCTTCGTGAGTAAGATCCCGCTCGAGAGAAACAGCCAGTGCAACACCCGAGGATGTCTTGTGATCAGTACAAGTACTCTTCCCGTCGGAAGGAATCGACGGATAGTCTGTACTGTGCGGACCGCTGCGGTTGTGTACCATGAGATCTGAACGATTCATAAAATGTAAAGGTAAATGATCATAGCTATAATCGGAGTCTGGAGTGTCACGTTCCTGAAGCAAATCACCTGCGGACATTAGATCTTCCCTAAGCAAACCTTGGGTATCCAGATCCACCGATTGGTGCTGAAAAGTAAAGATAAATATGAGTGCAAGTAAATGGATGGACGGTTTTTGAACAGGGGCAGCCAACATGTGATAAAGTATATACTTTTAGACAAAACTGGTCAAAAATCATCATCATGTTGATAAGACCACCCAATTGGTCTGTGCCTCGCACTGCTGAGGGACAAAACGTTTATTTACTTACTTATTTACGACCCAAAAAAAACCTGACCTTGACTAGGAAAAGGAAAGCATTGATGCCAACCTCGTTCCAGTCGGTGGTGGATACCGCAAAGCATTCTAAGCCAATCACATAAAACAATGTCAGCAAAAACTGATGTGTGTTTAAGTGTCCACAAAAGGTTTAAGGAAAACGTGGTATGCACGGTATCGAAGTGCTTTGTTGCCACGCGATCATCAGCCGCGCACTGGCTAGGTGCCATGAAGTAGCCTCTTGACCTATGCGGATTCGAATCGGTGATCCTTAAGTTACAAGGCGCATACCTTATCGCTTCGGTCCCCAGTACTTAACTAACTGGAGGGTTCAAGTGTGGTAAAAATAGGCTAATCTTACATTTAAACGCAACGACCGTACCCGCCGACTGTTTGTAGTAGTTCGTTTAATAGTGACAAGTGATGGCGAAGCAACGACTCCGTCAATAAGATCTCATGCATGTCAGAACGCAGAGTTTCGATGGGATGGATCCAAGTAAATGCGATACAATTTCCGCACCGCCTAGTCATAATTGTAACGCTAGCTAGTGGGTGGCAGTTCAGCCACTGCGCCGCAATATAAATCAAATAGATAGTAATAGAAAAAGTGGGGAAACAAAGACAGATACAAAAGGTAACATTTAGTTAGGAGTCGTGGCTTAGATCGAGAGTAGAGGGAAAAGCTAAGTGGGAGGGCAGGTATGGAAGCTCACAACACAAGCGCTAGGTCAACAAGTGCATCCAACCAGAGGTGTTCATCGTCCGCCCAGCACTGACACGAGGGCGGAACGGCTCAAACCAAGGCCAACTTAGAAGTAAGGGCCATCAATATTCTTGATCAAGTCACCTCTTGGCCTCATCTCTTCTTCCATCTGTACCCCAGCCGCGCGAGCAACGCACATCGCCTAGCCATCGGAACCCGACAACTGAAAAAATGGTCCAGGGTTTCATTTATTCTTCCTTAGCCGTAAACAACACACCGAATGCAATCATTGCTCCCATGATGTTTCCACCAGGTGTGAGCCAAACTGCGAAGGCACGAATTGTCGAACGTATAACCAACCATTTTCGGTCTGTTGCTCTGATAGGTCAGGTTTCACAGCCGTAGAGAAAGGCTGAACGTAGAGCTGCATTGTTGACTCTACCCTCCAGGTGGAGTGATGTTGTACCGGTGCTACAGGTGGCAGATTAGCAAAAGAGCTACCAGTTCGCTGTATGGTTCGTTACCTTATCTTCCATCTCACAGGCGCTGATACAGCTGGTCTCCATCAAGAGCCAGCGCAAGGAGAGAACTCTGCCAATGCTGAAGGGAAGCTTCGCATTCGGAGAAAAAAAGCAAAGCCCGAAACGGCTGAAGTCCTGCTTGGTACTTTTGTGAGTCGTCACATTCATCTGCTCGATGGAACGTCTGACCAGGATGAAGTAGCCAAATCGAATTCACGTATCAAAGGGGTGAGTCAAAATAGCCAGTCGTGGTGAACTTAAAGTAGAGGAATTTGAAGAGCGAAATATGAAGAGCGGAGCCTGGGTGCACAACAATCACCAACACTAAGCGGATGCAGAACGACCAGGAATCCCTCTTGGTAGAGAAGACGACATAAGTAACATCAAAACTAACGTCCCCCCAATTGCTAACACGAGAGTAAAATGTCAACAAAGCGTATGAGGTGTAAATAACAATCATGAGTTCATAGGTTAAAGCCTGTGTTAAGAAACAATCTGAATGATGAGTATTTTGCAAGTGAAATTAATGTTTTGTTTATGTTTGTAGGAACAAGATGGTCAAACGTAGAGAGCAGATAAAAAGAAACTAGCAATTTAAGTGCAAATAAAACGAGATCAGACGGATAACCAGCGAGCCAGTGTCACATTTCAGTGAAAAGGGAGTAAAGTCGTACTAACTGCTCCTCCTCTGTGTTGCATTACGTTAAGGAGTGTGAAGCCAACTTCTAAGTCAGACTTATACAACCATTTTACAACACAGATCGAGAAAGAATCTACTCCTTTTTATCCGCAAAGGTCTTACTTCTCTAGAGAAGCGCTTGGGTAAAGTGGAATGACGATCTTTTGTCTGAATTCATGAATGATTGCGCTTGACCGCTAGTAACAAAAAACATAATGCCCCATCTCGTAGGCCAGATTGGCTCATAGCAGTTTAACTTGGCCGGTAAGATAAGTACCCCAAACACGAATCTGAAAGTTAGGCAGGTCTCAAAGCCATCTAACCTACCCTCTATATAATCATATAAAAATATGACCTATCCAAACAAGTTAAGCTCAGAGGTTCGATTGCCATACATGGTCGGCAGTTTCCGGTTCCGGATTTGTCTCTCATTGCGGTCTCCATTGAACACCCACAATAAGCCTGTGCCTAGAGAGGCACTGTATCACTCACAGTCCCATCTACACACACCCCATATCTTGTGAAAACTCGAAGGAATACAACCAGGAGGCATGTGGATGAGAGCCACGTTTCATCAACAACGCTGACCAGCACTTCAACATGTACAACAACAGTACTCCTGTATATCAAAATGGGGAATCATGCGTGCCAGATGTACACAAGACCGTGGCTGGGCCGTAGTCCGCTTCAAACTGAAAGCACGAAACCACTCTTTGAGCGTAGCATGGTCACGAAGATCGTGCACCCCGTCCACCGCAGTAACGATTCAGTCTCCTGGAACCAGTAATCGAGGTGGAGGGTATTACAGGTAAGCACCCTGTCAACATTCACACCAAGCGCAGCGACACCGAGGACGTCAAACAATCAACACAAAATTTGAAGAAAAATAAAAAGGTGAAATTCACGCTGAATGTATAGCACAATAACCGAACTGAGCATACCGAAGGAGATCTCGTCTAAGTCGGTGTAGCCCAACTGCGGGGAAGGAGCATGACGCAATATCTATCTCGGTATGAGGCACGGCTGTCAAGTATGTATGTACATGTATATACCATAAATATATATGGTTGGCGGCATCCGGTATATATATATATGTATATAAATATATATATATATATATATATATATATATATATATATATATATATATACGTGTATATGTATAATAGAACAACTACAAGACAATTGACTGAATGCTACAACATATGAGAAATAATAGTAAATCAACAAGAAGTCTCACAATAAGTGCGTCATTGCGTACGGTCCTCGGCCATATTCAGTTACGTTTGCAACAAAATGTGTTTGCGATCCTAGGGTTCTCAACCCGGGAGTAGACAGCAGCCAACAGCAGTCAGCTTCGATGTTTGTGCTTTAACGCGTAGGATTCGGGTTTTACACTGACTCAATGAGGCTGGACCTCATCGTGGTGCGATGGTTTGCGTGCCACAGCGATCCATTGAGCTATGCTGGGTGGTGCTTTTGCACCTTCAGAGTCACTTATACCAGATTGGTCAATGGTTAAAGGTCAAATGCAGCCTCCTTGTCCTCCAGCTTGGTGGTTGGAATAAGGTGACTCCTTATTCCTTAAAACGGATGCCTTGTAGTCCAACGGCAAACCCGCTGCCCTGCGGTCAGCTTTTTGAACCAAAGGATTTGATTGAGAACCCTAATCGTTCTCCTGTTTAGGCCTGGGCAACCTGACAGTATCCTGCCCACGCAATACAATGAATTTCTCTCCAAACAGTTTCTTGTTGCGCTGACCACGGCAGAGGATAAGCAACGGTGCCCTATCTGCTGTATTAGCAGGGTGGATAGGGTTTGGATGCTACTGCTCAAGGCTTCCCATCTTCTTATTCCCTCTCTTACGCTATTTCATTCTTACCGTCCCGTTCCAGCTTCACTTTTATCCCCCAGTTTTCAACCCCCCAATTATTGGCCCTCCTCACATTGCTTTGCTAGGCTTTTACCTTCCAGTTTCAACTCAGGTGTGAACGCGGAGCGTCATTCCTGTCCTGTCGACAAGCCCAAGTCCAACCGAACGGCCAAGCCCAGTTCATCGACTCCCATTTGGAGTCCCCGATCATCCTTCAGATTGGCATGCCTCAATGTACGCACATTGCTACAGATCAGTCAACAGGTAGCACTTGCCCGAACATTAGAGACCCTTTCGATCGATACCTGCTGTTTATCAGAGACCCGCCTGCAAGATTCGAGTTCTGTGTTCACTTTGCGATCCCCTTCAAAAGACACCAGCAGCACTTTCTCATTGCGCCTATCTGGTGACGATACAGTTTCGAGCACCGGCCAAGCCGGTGTTGGTATTGTCTTGAGTCCCCGAGCTGAAGCTTCTCTGGTTGACTGGCGCTTTCAAAGTCGCGCGGAACTAACAGGTGTCTATTCGTCACCGCTGCCTATGCACCCACAAGCTCTAGCGATGATTAAGTAAATGACGACTTCTATCGCCAACTGAACGAGTTCCTTTGCCACACTGTTGTGCTGGCTGTGAATCTGAATGTTCAAGTTGGAAAATTATCCACTGATGAACTACATCTAAGCGACCAACATGGTGTAGGCTCCTGTAAGGATAATGGTGAACGATTACTCCATTTGTGTGAAGATGCTCGCTTACTTCTTGCAAGCACTAATTTCTGACACAGCACCCGCCGGAGGGTGACTTGGCGCCCACCAGCCTCGAACCAGCTATGGACACAAATCGATCACATTGCGATAAGTTACAGATGGAGAGACTGCATCCAGAACTGTCGCTCGATTTGGAGCACAGGTGTGGACACCGACCATGCACTTGTATGTGCTGACCTGCGGATGCGTTTCGGCGGACGCCCACGACGACGAGGTGAGAGCATTGACACCAGTCAACTGGCGAAACCAGCTGTTCTGAATGCCTACCAAAGTCCGCTGTCATGCGAGTTGAGTAAGCGCTCACTGGATGCAGTTGAAGCTAACTGGTCTCATATTCACCAGATCATACTAGCAGCAGGAAAATCCTCATGTGGTAAGTCTAATCGCTAACATGGACATTGGGTCTCTTCGCAGTCTCTGGAACCTATCGATGCTCGCCGGCATATTCAGGCTGGAAGCGAACACAATGAATCGCGCAGACATCCGGGCAAAACTCCGTGCTAGCCTGAAGAGCGACCACCAATTCTGGTGGCCTCATCGTGCATCAGAGATGGAAAGGGCCGTTGCCCTTGGTAACCATCGTAAATTATTCCGGCTGATACGAGAAAAGAGCAACAGAAGATATGATGTTAGCGAAACTATACGTGACGAGAGTGGACAGACTATGCACAACTTGTCAAAATGCTTGGAGCGTTGGACTGAACATTTGAAAAGAAATTTAATCAGTCGGAATTATAAGATTTCTCGCCGGACACTGATCGCCCCGCTCCCTGGGCTGTCCCTTTGGATCCACCCTCTCGCTCAGAAGTCGAACGTGAGATCGCACTGTTGAAGTTAAATAAAGCCGCGGGACCAGATGATCTACCTTCAGCCCTCTTCAAGCTCGAGGGACCTGCTCTTGTAAATGATTTATACAAGTTACTAGTGAAACTGTGGGAGCAGGAAACTGTCCCAACCGACTGGAGCCGCTCCATCCCAATTTTCAAAGGAGGCTCACGATCGGAATGCGGCAACCATAGAGGAATAAGTCTGATCTCCATGGCCTACAAATTGATTGCATCTGTCATCCCTCACAGACCGACTAGCACTTGTGAAAGTCGTATTCGTGAAGAGCAAGCCGGGTTTCGTCGAGGTAATGGCTGCATTGACCACATCTTCACCTTGCGTCAGTTGGAGCACCGTCGCATACCTTGGCAGTCCACCGTCGTCGTGTTCCTCGGTATCAAAGGTGCATTCGATTCGGTGGATAGACGTGCGTTTTGGGACTGTGTACTCAGGAAAGGTGTACCTGAGAAATATGTAAATATTATCTGATCATTATACGCGCGTATCTCAGGCAGAGTGAGGGCTTACGGCAAGCTGTCGTCGCCCTTTAATACCTCCAGCGGTGTGAGACAAGGATGCCCGCTGTCACCTTTCCTCTCCAACATCGCTATTGACGAAGTCATGGAAATCGCGTTCACAGGACACGACTTAGGTGTGGATCTGCTCCCAGGAGAACGACTTCTTGACTTGAAGTACGCTGACGATAGTGCCCTCATCTGTGACAGCTCATAGACGTGCTAAGCAGTACTGGACAGGTTAGCACTGTCTGTCAGCCGCTTCGGGCTTTGCTTTGAACCATCGAAGTACAAAGCGTTCCTCCAAGATTGGCCTGGACCGCCTCGTTCGCTGACCCTTGGTGGTGATCAGCTAGAAGTCGTTCGGAAATTCAACTACCTGGGAAGTTGTATCAGCGCCCGTGGGATTGAAGATGAAATCACAAACCATATAACAAAAGCACGAGGCGCTTTTGCTAATCTTCGCCATTTATGGCGCAGGAGTAACATCACTCGCCCTGAAGGGTAGAGTATGAAATGCAGCGGTATGTTCGACCCTACTGTATGGTTGTGAAACCTGACCCCTTAGATAAACGGAGATAAAGAGACTAGTTACGTTCGACCACCGGTGCCTTCGCAATTTAGCTCACATCTGGCGGGAACACCGAGTAAGCAACGAGCGTGTTCGACGCCTTGTTTACGGCACAGGAAAAGGAAATGAACCGCTCAGCACCGTTATTTCAGACACCAGGCTCAGATGGATGGGCCACGTGTTACGCATGCCAGCCACCGACTCCCGCGACGTGCGTTGTTTGCGCGCCGGGGTGTGAATGGAAGAAAAGAGGTGGCCAAGCGATAACTTGGTTAAGAGGAATGAAGGCCCTCACTTCGAAGTTGGCCGCAGTTGGAACGTCTCGGTTCTCTGGTTAGGGTATGAAAGACGATAAACATGTCTGGCTGGATACACTTGTTGATATGGCTAGGAGCCGACTACAGCGGCGTTCGTTTATTTGTCTCACACCATCCCACTTAGCCTCCTTTTTAAACCACGATCTCACTATTTAGCATTTTATAATCTTGCATAGATTAATTTTTTCTGCTGCATAGTAGCCGACAGGTAGCTAGCTTACGGACACGATGCCCGTCCGTTACTGGTAGCTCAGTTGGTTTGCACCTATCGCATTTTATTCTCTTTTTTCTTTTAGGTATTGCGGTACGGTAGCTGAGGTGCTTCCCAACTCTAGCTAATGTGTATAGTGTGTCTAAATTGACTCAGTTGTCGTCGTTTACAGCACAAGGCTGCGCTCGCAGAGAACGGAAAGACCATAGCACATACACACATGATCCAAAGTAGAGTAATTGCTCACATATGACGCAGTCATTTATGCAACCCCATTGGCGGTCCACGTAGAACACCCAGAGAATGCGCACCAGTGGCGAGCCAAAACAGAAACGATCGTCGTGTGCGTCTCCGGAATGGGGTTTAGACTATCTGGTTCTTGCTACTGGGATGATTTACCAAATTTTTGGATTTTTATTGGTGGTCATGGAAACCGGGTTCAATGGACGGGAGTAATGAGTGGGGTATGCCGACTATATTGCATTCATCTGTGATAGTTCATAAACTTGAAGAACATCACTGGAGACTAGCGCTACCCCTAGCTATACTGGGCTTTATTTGCATCCTCAAAATGCAAACATTTCCTCTAAGATTAGTAGCAATCGATGCTTGCGTTGTAGAGCAACTAGGAGTCGGAAATAAGTTTGGATACCTGGGCATAGAAGTGAATTCACCAATCACATAGCAAAAGCTAAAAGCGCTTCTGTCAAGCTTTGTTATTCATTGTCACGCGTCATCAGGCTCGTTCTATGGGGTATAGTTTGTAATGGATGTCTCCTTGGTAGAGTCTTGTTAACAATGTCACCGTTCGGGCGGTGTTGCTTCTCGGAGCGCAGACGCGCTGGCTCTCGGCCTTCGACAACGTGTGCATGAGGAGTGCTCGTGTGTGATGGCAACAACACATCGGACTTCGTCTTAGGGAATGCCAGCATTCACTTCAACAACCTGATTTTGCTGCGCCAGTTACGACAGCTTGGTCAGGTAAAGCGCATGTCAGCTGAGCTGGTGCCTTGTCGCGCTGTTTGCGCGTGCAGAACGCAACTAGAAGAGACACTGCGGTGGTCTATCATCAACCTGGCGACAGCAAGTGAAATGGTTGAGTTCACGTCTTGTCACGATTGGATCTACACGTCTGCCTGGTTTGGGGTTCCTTGGACGAGGAAAGCGGATGGCTGGAAACCATTCACGATATGGCTCGTAATCGTAACCAGTAGGATCTGTGTACATAGTTGTTTAGACTTGGATGGTTAATGCTTCGCAATTAAAAAGGCAAAGAATTAAATGGCGTGTGCAAAATAACAAATGCTCCGCTTTTTTCTTTAATTACAGCGCAATAGCTAAAGAGTGTTGCTCACCTTCAGTTAATGTGTCATGCTGATAATACGGTGTAAAACCTGTCTACTTTTAGTGATTTCTATGATTATGGTTGGCTCTAGGTCTATTTAACAGACTGCTGCCCATACTAATGGAGGCGCATGTACAACCCTACCGTACGGCTAACTGCGATTTCACTCATACCTGGTGGGAACACATTGGGAGCAATAAGGGTGTTCGACATATTGTTCTGTGCGGGAAGAATAAGTGGACCCCTATTGCTGCTTTCGATGCACCAAAATCCCCCGGCTGGGCCGTGTTACGCAACTTGAGTCGTATGTGCGACTGTCGACTGGTTGGACGAAGCTGGTAAAGATTCTAGTGAATATATATATATATATATATATATATATATATATATATGTATATATATATTTACAATGAGAAACAGGAAGTGTGGAAAGCGACAGCGAAAAGTTGGCGGGAACACACTCACTTTGTTTAACTGAAACCAAGCGCGGCAGCTAGCAACGCGACACCAGACCAAGAGGCTATTAGTGGTTGATCCTGGCCTCAACTGCTGTCCGAAAGCCAAAATGACTTCGAAATGGGGCTTCGGGTGTTGACCAGCACGATAAGAACGCAAGTGCGATACGAACTCCCCATAGTCGAAAATAAGATCCCGTTCACGACGTCCCAGCTTTTTCAGCAGTACGTACTCACCAGTACAAACAGGAGCGTATACAAAAACAGCGCATTTACACACTCGTTCTGCGTACACGCTGCCTTGAATGACAGACAGGATAACTCCACGAATCATGTTTTCCAATAGTAAATCGACAAATTCTTTATTGGCTTCCGACACGTGATGAGGGATTTGAACCTCGACAGGATCTGGTGACGCTAACGAACTGATCTGAATTGAATTTATAGTCTCAAAACCGGCGGACGGTACCTGATCGTATCTACCGAAGTAGACACAACACCCATTCGGGTTGGTAACTATCGTGTCTTTGATGCGGAAATTCAAATGCTGAATACGTATTCCAAGTTGATGAAATTCCGGTTCCGTTACACCTAGTAAAGGGTCAGCTGGATCTAAATCTCCGCAGCAGCTAGATGGTCGAGAACTTAATGCAATGCCGAACCGATTGTTTGAAGTCACGTCATTGGAGGATCGTTCACTGGCATTGCGAGACAGATAGTCGGAGTGCGCAGACTTGAAGTTCGGATGATTAGTGCCAGTGGGACGTACGTTGAGAGATCTTGAGGCAACAATACGCAGAGCACATGGTTCTTGCCTGTTGTTGTGAAACTCGGACTGGTAAGGGATCACAGGCACCCGTCTCAAAAACAGTCTATCGTTACGAGGCTGAACCTGAAAAGAAAGAAAAGCAAATCAACCACAGACAAAACCGATTTGCACGTGATGTTGACTGTACCAGCAAGCGAAGTATCTTAGGAAACGCTTGAGAAATGTATCAAGTGCATGCACTTTTCTTACTTCGATGAACCGCTCAGCATCGCAAGAGACCTCCTAGGTGTAATCGGTATATGCAGAAACCATGTTGTTGGAACCCGAGTGAGTGAACTAAAACGCCGTGGTTCTGGATGTGTTTGGGGGTCGCAGCGCACATTAGCTCTAATAATGAGATCATGAAGTTGCTTGTTTCCCGATCAGACAAAATGTGGGGAACGGTACCCGGTTTTCCTGCTGTTAGTGATGAACAAGTCAGTAGTAGTTTATGCTGAAAGGAGACATGTGGGTTGACGATATTCTCTAGCTGCCTATTAGAATCTACCAATTTCACTCAACTAACTAATCCATATGAGAGTGTTAAGACTTGTCTAGAATAGTGCACAACGACCTGTTTTTGGGTCATTGATAAGTACACGTGCGATTGGATCGCGGCGCACAATCGCAATGTAGATCATGATTCGTTCTGAAGTGAACCTTGGAAAATGCGATCATTAGGGCCGTAGCTGATGAAGCTGAAAAGAATTTGGTTGCCGGCGTTCCATTAGAGTGCAGTATTTTCGAGCGGACAATACCTAATTTGCTTCTCCTTCCAGTGAGAAGGTATGGCGTGTGACTGAAGGATCGGCCAACGGCAGTAAGAATTGCACACCTGACGTTCGAATCGGCGAGTATAAGGGAGACCGCGCGGAATATCTAGTCTTCGCGAGACTGATGGCGGTTGCCTGACAACGAAATGTCTTAGTAAATAACAGCGTGCCTTTTGTTCAACATTCAATGTCCCCAGCGGTACGTAGGTACCGACTGGGAATCGGAGACTATCAGATACTCAACCCAGTAATCCCTTATCCGTATTGCGAATATATATGGACGCCTTAACCGTCAATGACACGAATGGTCAAATCAATCGCCTGTCAGAATGTGACCAACCTCAGCGAAGCTGCTTCCACCTAAATGTACACTAGATCAAATCACCAGCATCAGCGACAGCAGTGCATCAGTCATGTGAACGGATGCTTAGCTGCCATACAACCATGAGGACCTATTGAATAAAGAAAAATGAGAGAAGTGGAACTTACCTGAAAATCGTAATGCCCTAAGCAAACATTAAGGGGCAAGGCGCCTACACCTTGTGTAAACAACATACCGTCACAAACAGTGGTTATCGTGCAAAGATAAGGCGGCATCGGCGAGACAGCTCCCTTGCGGCATTCACTGCGCAGCATCATATTCAGCCATTACCCCGCAGGTAACTCAGCTCCAAACACACCTTAAACAGACAGTCCGACTGGGAGACGACAGCAGACGCGCCACTGGTGTCGGTTGCGAGTCACACCCTGTAAAGTTTCGAGCCAAGCACAAGACGAGTCACGTGGACTCCAGCCGGAAGGTGAGACGGACCAACGGCACCCAGTTTGGTCGTCAGTGACTTCATTTCCCGCTGCCAAGTCAACTTCTGTCCACCTCGAGCGTTGCGCCATCCTACAACTGGTAGACTGAACAAGGCCCTCCTAGGTAAGCGATGACCAGGCATACGTAGCACATGTCCGAGCCAACGCAACTTATTCACTGCTATCTACTGTTCTAGGGAGCTAGCATGATTATCACTACCTAGTACTCGCCCACGCACATCGTCGTTTCGGACACGCTGATGTCATCCGACATCAGAAATGCTTCGCAGACAACGATGATCAAAGACTTGAAGGCGCCTCAAATCTTCAGACGGATGGGGCCAAATCTCACTATTATATAGCAGAACGGCCCTCACTGTGGCCTTGTATACACAGCTTTCCAGACGAAGGGAAACTCCCTTCTGTCGCCAAAGATGTCGCAGGTTAAAAAAGGCAGCTTTGGCCTTTGCGATGCGTGAGCTCACGTCAGTTTCTATGCGACCATCATTGCTGATGCAGCTGCCAAGATAAGTGAAATGATCAACCACCTCGAGCTCCTCGTCAGCAAGCACCAAGGAGTTATGAAGTGGCTGGTGGTCCTGCAGCAACACTTTGCACTCTGAAGATGCGAAGTACATACCGAATAATGGGACCACTCTGGACAGGCTATTCAGGGTTGATTGTGTCGCCCCAACATTGTCGGAAAGCAAGACGATATCGTCCGCATAATCTAGGTCAGCTAACCTTTCACCAGGCAGCACTACAACGACTATCGTGAGACCCTCCTAGGGAACACTCCGTGATAGAATCCATGACGAAATTGAACAAAAATGGGGAAATCGGACAAACCAGACGAATGCCACTTGTGGTCGGAAAGCTATCTGACAGGACACCGTAGACCCTGACGCGGCCCGTGGTGTTCGAGTATAGAGCACGAAGGATGTTCACATATTTCGTGGGAACACCTTTCCGCGCAAGTATTTCAAACAGAAAGAACCGACTGACTGAATCAAACGCACTCTTAAAATCAAAAAACACAGCTATTTGCGGCCTGCGATATGAGTGGCGCCGCTCTAACTCCTGCCGCAGAATGAATATATGGGCTATACAGCCACGTCCTGGACGGAAACCAGCCTGCTCTCTCGTAATCCGAGATTCCCGTTCCGCAGTGAGGCGATGAACGAGAATGGAGGCCAGTGATTTTGCCACAACTGGCGTTAGGCTAATACCCCTGTGGTTAGAATAGTCTGTGCGACTGCCCTTCTTGTATATTGAGGTTATAAGCGATTCGCTCCAATTAGCCGGGACAATTCCTGCCAGATCCGTTCGAATAGGGAGGTAAGTGCTTTGCAGACGACCTCACCTCCATCCTTAAATAGTGCAGGTGAGAGGGAATCCGGGCCAGCGGCACGAAAACGAGTGAGGGCTGTGATCGCGTTTCGGACCTCGGCCTCCGACAGAGATTAAACTAACTGTCCATGGCTCGCCCTGCATCACCTGAGTAGTAAGAGCTCCGGAAGCAGGAGGCCAGCTGAACTGATCTTGACTGTTCCGCCCAAAGAGCCATACGACGATCCTTATTGTGTATCAGCGCACCCGCGCTGTCTCTGATTGTCTCACTGACGCCTGGTTTTCCGGGACCAGTGGTGCGGATCAGCTGGAAAAGCTTGCGGTAATTGCCTACTGCTCATGCCTCCTCCATTTCTTGAGCCCGACTGGTCCACCAGGCTTCCTTGCCAGCACGTAGGCTCTGCTTTAGTTCACGCCTAATAGCCCGACTGGTCACATTGTGCTCAGAGCCAGCCAGGTGTCTTCTGGATTCCAACAGGTTCACAGATCTCTCGGATATCCAGCGACTGGTGCGAGGACGATGGATACTGCCACAAGCAGCTGCTCCCGCGTCGTGCATGGCGGCCGAGATCCTATTCCACTGAAGCTCAGTGTCATTAGAACAAGACAGCGAAAGTTCGGTACACAATGCATCTTGATAGGCTCGCCTGGCCGAGGGCTGAGACAATTTCTCAGTTGCCAATCGTGAGAGACGCTTAGTGTGCCTCTTGGTAGAGCGCATGCAGAAACGACAGCGTACCATGGCATGATCAGAGTCGACACAGGTACTCCAGTACGAGCAGCAATCCATAATGGAACCACGACATCGGTAACTTATGGTTATGTAGTCAATTTGGGTCCATAGCTGGCCAGCTACAGGACGCCAAATGGCACATCGGCGCCAACTGTGTGTAAAAGCAGTGCTACTAAGAAACAACCGCTGCTCCATACAGTTGCAGCAGACGCTTGCCGTTGTCAGTCCGTTCGGAGTTAAGCCCATAATCACCACCCAGTTAGCTTCCGAAAATCTCAGACGCTATACTTGTGCGTTCATATCCCCTACGAGTACTATAATATCTGAACTAGTAGCACTGCGTAGTAGGGCATTCAGTTCGTGATAGAATGTGTCATTGACCGCATTAGAACTGCATGCAGTGGGAGCATCAACGGAAATCACAAACAGCGTTTTATATTACTTCGTGACCAGTTGACCAGTTGGACAACTCAGTTACTGAAGGCGAGCTGATGGCCGCCAGGGACGTTAGGATCAGTGGGTGCACTCCATCTGGCTCGGCAGCCTTTCTCCCGTCGAGACTTGCCATCAGCTTGCGTTCAGCTTCAATGCTGCAATCTAGGCTGTTGTTCAGCGGGGACGGTACCCGTCAAACTCGGCATACACCTGGTCACTTGCAAACACAGAAGCGAAGTGCGCCGCCAATGCGGACGCACGATCTGTGCACTAGGTTGAGCTGTCCAACTGAGCCTTCCAACACTGGCACATTGCCTGCAGGCCACATAGGCCACTTCACGTAGGCAAAGGACCTTTTGGGAGCAGTTTTTGCGGCGGCTGCAAGGTGCTCCTCGAAGCTTCTGCTCCTTTTGTTTTCGCGTTGTCGCAGATATTTCGATGTATCATGTCAGAGCCAGATAACACGAATTTGTTCCATAGTCTGCGTCGTCGTCAGGCCAGTTTGTTGTAATCTTGTCGAACCAATGTGGCTTAACTGGCCCAACTTTCCTATACCTGAGGGGTACAAATCTGGTACACAACGACCACTCGCTCTTTAATGATATTCTAACAGGTTTCAAATGACGAATTCTCTGGTAACGACCAATCTATCTGACTCGCCGCTTGAGTGAGGTCATTAAAGTCCGCCTTCCAGTAGTTGAAAGCTGGCTCCAACGGGGAAAAGACAGCAGCGGCAGTTCCAAGCTATGACCATCGAGTGGTCACTCGTACCCAAGGGCTCCAAAACCTGAGTGTCATGCACACGTTGTACACAGCTGGTCAAAAGCAAGTCTAAGCACGATGGAGTCGAGCATCGGCTGAGTGGTGTTTCAAATATTAACTCCGTAAAGTTCCCCTCGACTTCATATTAGTCGAGGGGAAGTCTGGCCTCAGGTCACTATTTAGGGTAAGCTGAAATTGCCCATGAATAGGGACAGCGGATGACTCGTGGTTGCGGACATACGGCAACTAGTCCAAGCAGCAGCTCAGTGTAGTGCGATTCACCACGCCCACGAGCATCTCGCAGCGTGAGGTGAATTGAACATCATAACTGCTCACACAGACCATCAGCACTTCGGTAAGCGCTCATTAGTCGCCCACACAAGGATGACATACAGAGGGAAATAAATGGGTGCTTCAGAGGGCAAAATACTACCCGGCTGCCCAAGCCGAAGTTGGGTGTTGACTTAGAAGAAACCTACCCGGACTTTTGACTAAATAGACTACCCGCAGGGCAACCATAGAGGAATCAGTCTGAAAGCAGTTGTCTTTGAGATACGCGCCAATATCACTACCCGAAAACTTGCTGGCACCCGTGAAAGCCAGATCCGCGAAGTGCAAGCAGGGTTTCGTCGTAGTTGCGGCTGTATTGGCCATCTCCACTACGTCAATTGTTAGAGCACCAACATATTTACCGGTGTGCGACCATAGTCTTGTTCCTCGACATCAAAAGTGCATTCGATTCGGTGGATCAATGTGCTTTTCTTTTTAGAAAAGGTGTGACCGAAGCACTTTATTCGCATACTTCGGGCAGAATGAGGGCTTACGACAAACTGTCGTCGTCCTACAATATTTCAAGCGATGAGAGACAAGAATACCCGCTGTCACCTTATGTTTTCAACTTCGTTATTGATGAAGTCATGGAGACTTCGTTCACTGAGCACGGTCTACAAGGTGTGGAGCTGCTTCTAGGTGAACGAACGCCGACGACATTGTCATTATGTGAAAGCTTTCGAACGTGCCAAGTAACTGTGGACAAGTTAGCATTGGCTGTCAGTCGTTGCGAGTTAAGCTATGCACCGTCGAAATGCAAAGTCCCCCAAGGGAGCCACGTCTGCGCTAACCCTTTGTGGTGAGCAGCTAGAAATCGTCGAGAAATGCTAGTTTTAAGGCATCTAGATGGACTGAAGATGAGAGCACAAACCACATAGTAATGCTCCAGGTGTTCTACCAAGCTCCTTCATCTGTTACGCTGGCGCAACATCACTTTCGCGCAATGCAGCCGTTTGTTCAACCCTGCTGTACGAGTTCGAAACTTGGTACAACAGATTGAGACTTAAAAAGGCTTTTAATGTTCTACAACCGTTGCTTTCGCAGCAGCTTATGTGGGACGGAAACACCGCGTGAGCAGGGAGCGTGTTCGGGGTCCCGTGGTTAGTGCATCAAGAGCGAGTCAACCGCTCAGCACCGTGATTTCACGCACCAGGCTCCGATGGCTGAGCAACGTGTGCATGCCAGCTCACCGACTTCCACGACGTGCGTTGTTTGTGCCCCTGGGGTGTGGATGGAAAAAGAAGGAGGTCAAGCGACGACTTGGTCAAGGGGAATGGAGTCCTCACCTTGATTGGTGTCCTGAATGCCTGGTTGGGGGCCGATGGATGATCAACATCTGGCTGGAGACATGGCAAGGAGCCGACTTCAATGGTCTTGTGTTGTTTCGTTGTCCTCCCGTCCAGCTTATACACTGTAGTGGTTATTAATCTTTCACAATTTGTCTTTCCTGTCATCAAGTATGTGATCCTTCTAATGATCCGACAACCAATGACGCACACCACCAAGGCTTCTATCACTTTCCCGCTCAACTCGGTAGAGGCCAGCGTTCAATATTAGTTTCAAGTAACGCATGATAGAGTGCTGTGAACCTTGAACCAGGGAGCTGTCCAAGACAATCATGCGACTAAATTTGGCTGACTCTAAAAGCGCAGCACACATTGCAGCTTTTCCCCTAAACTGTGTCCGACAAGGCATACATCTTGTAGCTTCAGATCGTTCACCACTTTAATGATATCATAGGCCATTGAAAGCAAGCTCATGTCGGTAGAACGAGGGTTAAGACCATGAGTTCCCAAGTCGACTGTACATATCGAGTCGCGACGATTTTTGTGCAATGCACAAGACATGCTTTTCCAGTTCTGTTTCAATCCGAACAACCCATGGCAAAGTATGCTGCTCTCGAGCAAGGGGTCCACTGCCCGGATAAGAGTGTAAGCCAGATCAACCGCAACATTCATGAGTATGGTAGACACCCACCAAGCACAGTGCCACGAAAGGTCGGGTGAGTAATGGAGCGAAAACCGTGGGAAACACGGAGTGCTGAATCAAACACTTGTGTAATATGCGCCCCGGTATCCGTCTCAGCTGCCACAGCAGCAAAGTACACAGACACACTATCTCTGCCCCCGGAACATTCCCATTACCTGAGGCGCATTTTAGGCATGCCCACCTAGACAATCGGACCGCATCCTCCATCGAACAATTTCACTTTCATTCTTACTTGTGTTGACTACTTTACTCGTTGGCCGCATGCCATTCCTTCATGTGACACATCTTCAGAATCAGTTGCACGTGCATTTTTCGACTCATGGATTTCCTTCTTCGGTGTACCATCTACGACCACTACAGATCGAGGATCTGTTTAGTTCCACCTTGTTCAGTGACTTGAATCGCCTGTTGGATTGTACTCACATTCGGACAACTGCTTATCATCCCGCTTCGAATGGCCTTGTCGAGCGTTCCCATCGACAGCTTAAAGCCGCCATCACAGCTAATTCACCTGACCCACATTAGTCTGAACACATCCCAGCTGTCCTTCTTGGTATTCTTAATACCGTCAAAAAGGATATTGGATGCAGCCTTGCCGAACTCGTCTTTGGCACCACTCTGAGACTTCCAGGTGAGATGGATCCTGTGTCCTACGCCGAACGTCTTAAACAACACTTCCGAACAATTCGACCTACGTCTACTCGCTTCACTACCCACGAACAACGAATTCATCGGGACTTTTGTTTTCATTCGCACTGATGCAGTTCGCAAACCTTTGACACTTCCTTATGAAGGTCCTTTCAAAGTGTTGTCACGGAAACCCAAGTACTTCATATTGGAAAGGAAGTGATCGAAAGAAGCTGTGAGTATTGACCGTCTTAAACCCGCGTATGTTGAGCCTGCCGTTAATTTGACTGATCCAAAGTTGTTACCCCCCGTAGGTCAACCGACTGATTCCAATGTTCCAGAACCTTCATGCGCTCGCTCAGCGAATGATCCCAAGCAAACACGTTTAGGACGTTCTGTGTCTTTCCCCTCCAAACTAGCTGTGTTTGTTCCCTAAATAGCTATATCGAGTGCTACTTCACCAGTTCACGCTCTACGGGGGAGTTATGTAGTGGTTATTAATCTTCCAAATTTTGTCTTTCCTGTCATCAATGTTATCATGACATCTTTTGTACAATTTGTTTGAATCAATGGTTACAATACACTTCTTCGTGCCCCGCGTTCCGACGTGCTGATTTCTGGTTGTGCTGCTTCTGCGTGCTTACGGTGCCGTCCAGTCTGCTTGCGAATCGGATAGTATACTCGGAACTACTATCGAACGTTTGTTTCCATTGTGCTCGACGTATAGCGCAACCTACTAGTCGAACTCAACTGTTGACTATCTCCAAGTTTTTACCTTTTCTAAGGAATTGAAACCATCCTAGTATTTTTCCGACCACTACAATACCCTCCAAACACGATCTCTCTATTGAAGCATAATATGCTACTGAGCATTGCTGGTTACTGCATTCCACAATATTTAGTATGTTGCCTTGTCTTATAACTTTATGTATTGCGGCACAATAGCTGAAGGGTGTTGCTCACCCGCTAATGTGTTAAGATGATGAACCGTAACAGTTTGCACGTTTGGGCTGATTCAAAAGGCACTTAGAACGATGCAATAAGAGGTAATAGGCGACAACTTAAAAGTAGAGCATAGAGATTGCAAATCAAGCGCCAATCAGTAAACACGGAGTAGGGAGTAGATACGCAAATGTCAAATGCAGCATATGTGGCTTACAAGTGTGACCGTTCTTGTGTTGACGCACGGAAACCGCTGGACGATGACAGCTGTACGCCTAGATCCCAGTGGTATGGAGGGAGTAGCCATTTCGTAGCTGCCGAGTTGAGAAACAGGAGTGGGCGGGAAGTTAGGATTATAAGTCGGAGTTACGCCGTCGAAAATCATGCAGGCGTTCCGAGCCGCATTTGCACGCCACAACGATTCCGTTCTGCTGATGAACCGATAAACCTTGAAAGGCTGATCGCAATGTAAATCATGACGTTGTTTCACTTCCTGGATATCCGGAGCCTTGTTTAAAGCACATCGTAGACGGGTCTTCCACATCGGCCAGTCTGGTTCGTCGACACCAGCGCGGTACCTGCCAGTAACAACAGCCCAGTCCTCCATAAAATCAATGAAAGGTAAGCGCAGGAACATACCTTAAAAATTGCAGCATCGTGCTCCGTCCAAGAATGCTTGCCATGGTGTTTCCATGGTATCTTGAAGATTCCTTTCTCCTTATCGATCCAACGGAGACCTTCGATGCGGCCCTCATTGAGTCGGCATTCCAACCATTGACGAAGCCTGACGCGTGAGTCCATCTAATTGTGCCCGAAAGGTAGAGCTCGTAAGCCTGAACACAAAAAGCAGAATAAGGATTAAATTTAGGAAATCAGCCTCATAGAACTATACAGGATGAAACGGCTGACTTGCCTGCGAGGCATCAGTAAAGATATGCACTTCTGAGAAAAATGTATAGCACATAATCAACGAGCGCATCGACGACCGAAACGAAACAGAAAGTGAAAAGGAAAACGAAGACGAAACCAAAACTTCGTTACCTTGAGCGCGTCGAGTTGCAGTCTGTAAATGATTTATCAAGTTGCTTGAATAAGACTAACTTTCACCAGCAAATTACCAATGCGCTTCTGCTTTTACAAAGATTGTATTATGCTACATAACTTTCAGTCCTACAAACAAAGCGCGGTTTTCAAATTGCAAAATCATTGTGCATCCTTTCTAACAATTCAACCTTAACAGGGTATCAGAAGGGACTAATATAGGTCCTTATTCACGCTTCAGTGTGAGACGTTGTACCTGGAATATACAAAATATTAGCTATTCTTTGCAAACCTTAAACAATTCAGCCGAAGATTATCTTGGTCAGCAAACCATTGCCAACAAATCCTGCATTTTAATTCCGCAGCTCTCAATGGTTGGCCGAGAGCAGGCAGGAAATCCATTGACCGCTCTTTCAATTTCTGCCCACAGCAAAGTTTTTTCCGAGTTGGGCCACAGTGTTCCACATTGGAGCAATCCGGTCACCGGAAAGCTAACGTTCAAGTTCAAGTTCAAGTTGGACAGGAACCGTAGGAGAATTTCCAGATTTGTTCCTTCTTCAAGGCGTCGTTGAACCGGGATGGAGTTCGCGGGAGCGATTTGAAGCCGAGAGGAGTCAAATCAATACACATGAAGCACATAACGGTCAACCAATCAATGTCAAAGCGGCCTGCACTAGCAGTCCCCACTGTACCGGTTCTCGTGAATAGAATAAAGGTAAGGAGAAGGGAATCAACCAAAACAAAATAATAGTAATGCTAATACAGGAGATAATGTGTGGTTAAGGCAATAATAATAGATGTGTGAAGCCAAGGAAATGGATGTAGAAGTTAAGCACCAAACGGATAGGTCTGAAACTCCTTCACCGTTGGTGCCAATACTACTTCGCTGGGTAGTGCGTTCCATGAGTCGATGACCCTGCGTGACAAACGAACGTCAGCTCTAACGTGATCAGATCTAGGCTTATGCAACATCAGAGGGTGACCACGAAGAGATGGCATCTGAGCCGGCTGAAACAGTCCAGTTAGATCAGGCCCAACCTTGTTGGTCAATATATGGTACCTAAGAATCAGGTCGCCCCGAAGGCGCCTATGGTGCAGCGAAAACAGCTGCAACCTCAGCAGCCTATCGTAATACGAGAGATGCCGCCATCCTTGTACCAGTTTTGTACCAACCCACAGAACTCGTTCAAGTGTCATCTTATCGCGTACCAAGCATGGAGGACAGGCCTCCACGCAGTACCCCAAGTATGGCCTGACGAAAGCTAAGAACAATATAACGAACATTTCATTTGTTATAATGCCGAATGAGCTGCGGATCATCCACAGCATTCGGAAACCCTTGAGGGAAGCATTTGTCCAGTTCCCGCTGGATTTGAAGTCAGAGGATAACGAGATACCCAAGTCGGTTTGTTCGGTTACTTCACGTAATACATTTCCGCCAAGTACGTAAGAAGTTGCGGAAGGGCTTGATCCTATGCGCAGGACCGAACACTTTGCAAGATTGACTGACAGCTGCCACAAGTCTGCCCACTCCCAAAGCTTGTCGAGAGCTGTCTGTAAAGCCGTGGGCCAAACAGAATCGCTCACTGTATTCAAAAATTTTTATGACATCCGCAAACATAAGGGATGGTACCATAAGCTTCTCAGGGAGGTCATTGACATACAATGCAAACAGTAGAGGTCCGAGAACCGACCCCTGAGGAACACCACTCAGAACGGCTTGTCTGAAAGACAGCCCAGAACCCACTCGGAAGCTCATCTGCCTTCCTTCCAGGAAAGCCGAAATCCACTTCAATACTTGGCCTGAATGGTCCTAGCATCCTGGTTTAAACAAAAGACGGCCATGCGGTACGGTGTCAAAGGCTTTAGAAAAGTCGATAAACAAAACATCCACTGCCTGTCCTTGATCCACAGTCTCAGCCCAGGACTCTCGGGCTACCAACATTTTAGTCGAACAGGAGTGGCCTCTGCGGAACCCATGTGGAGACGGGTTGCGCAAACTGAACTTAGCTCAGTGCTTTTCCAGAGCATCTCTTACAAGCTTCTGTAATACTTTCACTAGTACGCTTGTTAGGCTAACCGGTCTATACTTTTCAGGTAAATGCTTATCACCCTTTTTGAAAATAGGGCACACGGTAACATATCTCCAGTCAACAGGTAGGGAGCAGCTACGAAGATACTTCTCAAAGATGCACTTAATTGGTTTACACAGGAACCCAGCCAGCTGGTACAAAAGTTTGGGATGGGCGGCATCTATCCCGGCAGCTTTTGTGGGATTTAGGTCACGTAGGAGCTTGAGTACCTGGGCTTCCGAGAGGGAAAGTCCATCAGAAAGGAGTCTAAGGGTATCTTTGCTTGCAATTGGATATTAGGCAATGGAGATTCATGAACAAACGACCTAGCAAACTGTTCTGCAAGTAAGCAGGTCTTGGTCTGATCGGTTGATACTTCAGTGCCGTCAGGTCCAAAGAGCACAGGGATAGGCGAATTTGCGCTGTAACTCCGTTGGACATAGCCAAAATACCGTTTCGGGTTTGTTGATGCGGATCGAGCTAGCGCTAGTTCATATCTCAAGCGTGCGACCCGCAGATGTTGTTTGCATGCCTTTCGCACGCCTTGGTAGCGATGCTGGTTACTTTCTGAGGGAGCTGATACGTAAATCCTCCAACACCTGGAGCGCCTACTGAGCATCCTGCGCGCCTCAGGGTCAAACCAAGGGGCTTTGCCCCTACTATTCCTCACTGAGATTGGAATGTGGGGGAGGGAAATCTCGCGAAGACAGGATTTGAACTTGTCTCAAACAACTTGGACGGTGTCATCCTCTGACACGATACAGGGTTGATTTACAGCCTTATCCCTGATGGCTTGGAAATCTGCGCGTTAGATATTTGGCGTTCTGACCATACACTCTTCACGTCCCCGAATTAAGGCACATTTGAATAAAAGCAGACCTGATCACTATAGCCCAAGGAGAATCATACATTACATCTACTACAAACTCCAGCGATTTTAGCAATGATGAGGTCTAAAATGGAAGGCTTTTGGCCCTCCATGAACCTAGTAGGGCTTTGTACAAAATGCTGAAGGGATGCTTGTAAGGATAGGTCAAGGAGATCATTAGCAAAACGTTCAGACGCTGCAGTGCAGAAATTGCGCCAAGCAACCTCAGGAACATTAAAATCACCCATAACCAGACATCTATTTGTCGGATGAGTACGAATGAAATCAATCAGCCTGCTTGACGTACTCCATGACCTGCTCCATGAGATTCCGCCAACCATATATCTAAGCATTGTCCGAAACATTGCGTTGCTTGTGCACAGAAACCAGCCCAGTTAGTGTTCTATTCATACCGTACACGAGTTAACAAAGTACTATCATAACGAACCCGAAATCGCCACGAATAAAACAGACTCCAAATGTAGCCCCATTTATAACTATTCGCGCAAAGACAAACATTTGCAACTCTTGTCACACCTAAGCTCATAGTACATCCCGAATGTAAATTAACTTACGACGACCATACTCTAGAGAAAACAAAACCATTCTTTAAAGTCTTAGAAAAGCAATTTGGTTCTGAAGTGTGGTGGCGGACTTCGTTCCCCGCAAACGAACCCCCTATCAGCATGTAATCATCTAGCATGAGAGGACAGGATGCCGGTTCTCCGTACGCAGGTGTTGGGCAAGCATAGGAACTGAGTGGAAATCAAATAATCTCTGGAGTCTTCAGGAAAGGTACCTCCTTTTGAAACGGACGTCCTAATAGCCAGGGAACATGCGTCATGATCTCCTAAATAGTGCTTATTTTCTGGGAGCTGACTCCAACTTCCTTCCCTAAGGTTGCAAGCAGGAGCAACATGCCCCTGACGTGATACTCACCAAAGGGGCATTAGGCTACACGGTGGTGGACAGAACACTTGCCAAGTTTTCTAGGTAGCCCACATTCTACTGACCGGCAGTATCATCTGTCCAGGGTTGCATGTAGCGGCGCAGCGTTTTTAAGCTTAGACAACTCTGTACACAGCCTTAGTTAATCAGCCCATTAGGCGTAAGTAGTTTGGCGGTCTGACGGAAGCTCATTGATGATGATTTTAAAGGCCACTGCACCAAGGACGGAACCCCGTGTAACTCCAACCATCATAAGTACGGGAATGGAGTAGCTAGCATTCACTTTAAATTGCACGCTTCTGCCATTCATGATCAGTGACCTGCGAGATGAGTTTCCCATATACACTGGTCCACCGAGTTTCAGAAGGAGACATCAATGATAAGCTTTATCAGGTGCACTGCGATACTGGACGTATACGACATCCCGCCGATTACAGCATCCTGCGCACCCGTGCATTTTCTCCGGTGGAAAGTTGAAGATACAGCAACGTGTATTAGTAAAACTATGATGAATGCATTAGATGATATACAGGAATTCTAGGTAATGATTTATGGACTGGTTTAGTTTACTTACCAGAAACACAACTTACCTAGGTCGGTCTGATCAGCCGAAGGTTCACAGAGAACTGCCTATCTCATCAATTTTAACTTGGCCTCACAATACGCGGTTTCTAATCCATCGAGAGAGGTGCGGCGTCTTGAGGGCATCGAAAATACGGCAAACAGGAGAAGCAACTTGCTGGTCTACTACCTTGAGGAACAACGGGAGCAAATCCCCAGGACTCAGTAGAGAGTCTGGATTTAATTAGTGAAATTGCCTTAAAACTAATTCGTCACCGCTCTTTATGCTCCAGTGTTGGCGGGAGTGCAGCCTTACAGTCCCGTTAAAGGCCTCATGAATCCAGATTAGAAGCATCATCACTAAGTATGGTACCATTGTTTCTTGAAGGCAATGCAGATTTTCCTTTATGCAGCTTTAGAATTCCTTTTCAGGTAAGTTGGAAGCAAAGCAGTAATGGTTAAGGACTAATAAACAAAACCAGAGGTAACTCAGTTTGAGCGATTGAGAAGATGTAGGTTTGCATATAAAAAGTAAGTCCTTACCGAGGATCCAGTCGAGATAATAAATTTGGTGTCGCCAAGCCCGAACATTTAAAGGATCCTAAATTACTTTTCTACTGTGGTTAAGCCTGCCACGGCCTCTGCCGTTGAACCCTGGTTTTCGATCACTCGGCATGGTAGGTGGTAT